TAGAGATTCAGGAACCAGAGAAAATTTAAAGCAAGAAAGAATATTTAAACCACCAGAGTAATTTTTTTTAAAGATTTATTTATTTATTTGAAAGTCAGAGTTATACAGAGAGAGAAGGGGGGAGAGAGAGAGAGAGAGAGAGGTCTTCCAACTGCTGGTTCACTCCCCAAATGGCTGCAATGGCCAGAGCTGTGCCGATCCAAAGCCAGGAGCCAGGAGCCTCCTCCAGGTCTCCCATGAAAGCGCAGGGGTCCAAGGACTTGGGCCATCTTCTGCTTTCCCAGGCCATAGCGGAGAGCTGGATTGGAAGTGGAGCAGCAGGGTCTCGAACCAGCGCCCATATGGGATGCCAGCACTGCAGGCAGAGGCTTTACCCACTATGCCACAGCGCTGGGCCCTGGAGTAATTTATTGAAAGCTGAAACAAGTGTTAAAGGGACACCCAAGGCTCAGAGTGTCTGAGAATTCCTGTGCAGTAGCTCTGCCAACATCTAGGACCTGCTGAATCAGTCCTGCTCCATGCCTTTTTAACGACTCCGATATTCTGTGAACTTTCTCAGAGGCTTTAATAAGCTATTAAACTGTTTAATAAGCTATTGAAACTAAAAATAGCTTATGAACAAATGATTCTAAGGTCCCTGATGCATGTCTGGTACCATTCACATCCTTTGAAAATCTGAGGCACAAAGATGGGCCCAATGCTTTATGCTCCAATCGGTGGTAAATTCCAGAACTAAAGTCAAAACTTCTCCTCTCTTACAATTCGCACTTTCCTTACAGATGTGTAGGTCACTTAAGTACTGAAGTCCGTAGGCCTATGTCCACATCATCACTCACGAAATCCCGTCTCCCCCCTTAGACAAGATTCTCATCTGCTCTCTAGCTCCGGTCCTCCAGAACCAAACACATGTCAATGACACCGAGTTTCCTTTCTTGGAAAAGCTACCCCACCCTTCTGCCCAGTCCAAGTCTTTCCTAGTGAAGATAGAGAAATATATAAAAGCGAGCAGATTTGGCTCCCTGCTCACATATCACAATTTTGCTGTGGGATAACAACTTTAAGTCTCTGACAGAGTTGAACCTCCCTCTCCCCCACCCACCCCCCGCCCGGATCTTCTGAGCTGAGTCAGTGTGAAGCTACATTCCTCAGTTGGGTATGTAGAAGAACTGGGTTTCCCTTGAATTTGCTGTCACAGTAATGTGCTTCTGTCGAAGTCCTGACTTAAACCAGCTTGACAGGTGGCAGGTCCTTGCCTTAGACCAAATCATTTCGTGTTTCATGCTCATGACATCCTCTGTTGGCTGTTTGCCTCATTAGGTCCTGATGGGGTCTACCGCAACATTGGCTGCTTTTTTTTGTCCCCCTTGTCTGTTGATAATTCTGGAAAGATCTTGTGCTGTCAAGAATCATTTTCTATAATGATTATCTCTGACAGCCTCAGAGGCTAGCATACAACTTACATGATTTTCAGTCGTAAACTAAATACAAAATTCCGGTTTTGAATTCGCATTTGGATCTCCTACATAATATGAGATGTACAGCTGCATCCCCCAAAGATGGGCGTGTTCCCACTCAGCATGAGAGCAAGTGGGAGAGCTCACGGCCCGGGCACTGGAACCAATCCCACAGTGCCATCCTGCACCCGCAGCCCTCCTGCCAGAGGCCAGCCCAGACTCAGGGGACACGCGGCTTTCAGTACAGAGAGGACTCTGTGAAAGGGAAAGGGGACCACAATGGGTCCAGTGCAGGTATTTCCAAAGTACAGCCATGGTGAAACTCGGTACGAAAAGCTACGGTGACCTAGACTGTCAGCTTTAGCTTCGCATTAGCTCAAATGTGGCTCCTTTCACACAGTTCCTCAATTCAGTCTTTGTTATTTTTTAAAATATTTATGGTGTTTATTTAAAAGGCAGAGTTACAGAGACAGAGACAGAAAGAAGAGAGGGAGAGGTCTTCCAACCACTGGTTCACTCCCTAAATAGCCACAACAGCCAGGGCTGGGCCAGGCTGCATCCAGCAGGCAGGAGCTTCTTCCTGGTCTTGCACGTGGGTGCCAGGTATGCAAGCACTTGGGTATGCAAGCACTCTGTTGCTCTCCCAGGCACATTAGCAGGGAGCTGGATCAGAAGTGGAGTAGCCAGGACTTGAACCATTGCCCATATGGGATGCTGGCCCTGCAGGCCGTGGCCCATCCTGCTACACCACAATGCCATTCCCCACCCCCAATTCATTCTTGAGCAAGAAATGCCTCTTCCACGTTCCTACAGCTTTTCCATTTTTTTTCTCACTTTCTACTTCCATTACAGCTACTCAGATGAGCCTAATTGTGTTGTTTTTGGCATTGATTTTAGCTACTGCTGATTTTTTTTAAAATTAAAGATTTATTGGGGCTGGCTCTGTGGCATAGATGGTTGAACCACTGTTTACAGGGCTGGCATCCCATATGTGCGCCAGTTTGAGTCCTGGTTGCTCCACTTCTGATCCAGCTCCTGGCTAATGTGCCTGGGAAAGTGGCAGAAGATGGGCCAAGTCCATGGGCTCTTGCACCCATGTCAGTGACCCAGATGAAGGTCCTGGCTTCCCCTGGCCCAGCCCTGGCTGTTGTGGCCATTTGAGGAGTGAACCAGAGGATGGAAAACTTCTGTCTCTCTGTCTCTGCATTTCTGTAACTCTGCCTTTCCAATAAATAAATAAATCTTTTTTTAAAAAAAGATTTTAAAATTTATAAGATTTAGAAATCTTTTTAAAAAATATTTATTTATTTTGAAAGCATTACAGAGGGCACGAAGCTGGGGCATGCAGTGGCCTGAGTTCAAATCTTGCTCTTGGAAGTTCTATGTCTGGATAAATTACCCAACCTCTCTGAACCGCAATGTACTCATCTGCAACATGGGAATGACATTGTATGTTAACAGGGCACTGACTTCCTAGAGTTGGGAAAATTCAGTGATTGCGTCTGAGTTTGCCACTGAGCGGTACCCGGCACACAGCGGGCCTGCAGCAAATCACACCTAGAACTAGTATTGTATTCACCGCTTCTGTGTGACTGCTTGCCAAATTTATTCCATCATGAACACCACAGGAAAGATTCTTAGAGAACACATTTTCAAGAAGTATCTCTTAATGAACTTTGTAAGTTACGTAGATGTTCGGCTGGTCAGATATGTTATATGTCATAAACATACGAAGACAAGTAAAAATGTATGGCATGAAAATAAATCTAAAGAAAAGTTCTCGAAGTGCACGCGCTTTCTAGGCACACCAAACACACTGTTTTGTTCATTTGCCAGAGAAAAAGCTTCCTGTGGAGAGGCTTTCTCAGTTTGGTTGTCAGCAAAGCTTCATGGGTTGTGAGATGCACCAATTCCAGGAATTTGGTAAAAACAAGGGAATTGCTTTTAAAATATAAGATGTGGCAGATACATAAAAAGAAGGCAAATGGGGGAAGCTAAAGAACAGAAGGGGTAAGCAGAGAACATAATGTGCCCTGGGAAAACCCAAAGGACAAAAGATTAGGAAATGACCAAAACAAGTAGCCTTGAATTACTTTTGGTAATTAGAATGTGTTGGAAAAAAATTGCAGAAAAGTTACCGGCTTTACATTTTTATCTCCAAAATAAAAATGAGCTGGAGTTGGACTACTCAAAGAGCAATGAGGTATTTTTCTTGTGTTGTAGTCTGCAGAATCATCCACACTTTCTCCATTTCTTGGTAATTTACAAAAAAGGGGGGTACCCCGTGGCCCAATTAGCTGGTGATCCATTAGGTGTGGGACAAGGACCTCAGCTGTAACAACCAGTCTGAAAGACACGAAGAATTTCTATGTGAACAACCAGCTCTATCAACTTTTGTTCTGTTTCTTATCCTTCCTTAAGGAAATGGCAGCCTGGGGCTGGCGCTGTGGCACAGTGGGTGAAGGGGCTGCCTGCCGTGCAGGATCTCACATTGGAGCACTGGTTTCACTAGTTCCCCACTCCTGTGCCTGCAAAAGTATCAGAAGGTGGCCCAAGCCCTCAGGCTCCTACACCCATGTGGGAGACCCAGATGGAGCCCCTGGCTCCCGGCCTAGCCCCAGCCCGCGTCGGCACGTTACAGTGAACCAATGGGTGGAAGATGTCTTTCTCTCTCAGTCTCTGCCTCTCTCATTCTGCCTTTCAAATAAATAAATATTTAAAAAGGAAAAAGAAAGAAAACGACAACCTAGCTGCCACACCACCCTCCTGTGACTTCCCACATTTAAAGATCTCTAAGAAATACGAGTTCATGACCTGTCAGTCCTGCTCTGACCTCCCGCGTTGGGACAGGATGGAGCCAGGGATGATGTAATGCAGGGAGACGGCCAGTTGCAGGAAAGCACAGGGTCTGGAATCTGGCAGGGTTTCTCCGTGACCTTGAACAAGCCATTTGACTTCGAGTTTCTTCATCTCCGAGGGGAGAACAAATCTGTCTACCTATCTCATAGGCTTACTGAAAGAAGGGGATACACTGTATCTTCCGAATAAAAGAGACAGACACAGCACCTTATACACACACTGGCTTTTTATGTGTCCACCGTGGAACCATGGAGATCCTGGGGCCACCCTGTCCCTCACTTCAAGACCGGGAAACATCACCTCCAATGTGATGAGGCCCTTGGGATGAGAAAACACCATGAACAACAGAACTGGAAGTGACAGAAAGGGTTATTAGAACTCATAACATGGGCCGACACCGCGGCTCACTAGGCACACCAGGTTCTAGTCCCAGTTGGGGCACTGGATTCTGTCCCGGTTGCCCCTCTTCCAGGCCAGTTCTCTGCTGTGGCCAGCGCGGATCTGCCTTCGGATCAGCGTGGTGCGCCAGCCGCGGCGGCCATTGGAGGGTGAACCAACGGCAAAGGAAGATCTTTCTCTCTGTCTCTCTCTCTCTGTCCACTCTGCCTGTCAAAAACAAACAAACAAACAAACAAACAAAAAAAAACTCATAACATGGAGAAAAACAGCTCCCATGGGACATGCCACAGGCACCCTGGCCACGTTGGGTGAGGCACAATGAGCAAAGCCTGGGCGTGTCACCCAGAAAGAGGATCAAACCCAAATCGGCCTATTTGGTGTAAGAAGCTAAAGAAACAGAGATTCAAGCTAAGAGTTGGAAAGAGGGATTCTGATGTTTATTTTCCCTGCCTTTTTATCCAATCTGACAGGCTTTGGTTAACTTTTGGCAAATTTCATCTTTCATAGGGCTACACTAATGTTCCAGGGGCAGCCAAAGGTGTGGGAGCAGCCTCCTGTGGATTATCTTCCTTTTAACGAGGTCTCTGATAAGCTCTGCTCTGTGGGTGCTCGACATGAGAATAACAGACGTGCACACCCCTTTAGCAAGCTCAGCAGAACTTCAGTTGTCCGGGAGTGGTTCTCCCTGGCGGGAATTGGGCCAGGAGCCAGTGTTGGTGTGGGGGTGTTCCCAGCTTCAGCTGCTTCTCAGCCAAGACAACACGGTACCCAGGGCTCTCCAGTCTTCGGGGGAACCTTGCAGACTATGGGAAACTGACAAGCTGTCAAATCCCACATCCTTTGAAGTCTGGCAAATTTCTAACTCTGTTGTGCTGCCTCCACAATTGGAAACACACTGATGTCAGCGGGAACAGAGAATACTGAGCTTGTTTCTTTTGCTCAGTCTTTGAAGAACAGGGTCTAAGTATCTTGGCAGGAGTTCCTCTGTGATTCCCAGCTGGTTCCAGGTGCTCCGGGTCTCCTGGGCCACGTTGTTCTGTCCTAGCTTTTTGAAGGCCATTCTTAGCCTGGACAGCCACCTCGCACACAGATTTTTGTAGCAAAGCTCTTAATTGTTCCAGGTTTCATGGAGATTGAGTTCTCAGATACTCCCACATCTTGAATTCTGCAAGAAAAATCTCTTAGTTCCCTCTCCCAAGGCCCTGTAAAACAATTCTAAGCCTCAGATCCCCTGGGATCTTCATCATAAGCTGTTAAGTATTTCCCAATGGTAGCCTGGAGTATTAGACAGGAAGAAAGATTTTCCTGCACAATGTGACCAGTAGACATAGGGTCTAAGTGTCTGGCTGTCCCACCTCCCCAGACAGGCGACTGCAGAATTTCTGCTGCACCAAAAGGCCAAGATTTAAAGCCATTTTGGAAAGGAATTCTGTTTGCTGCTTCCCTTGCAACCCATAATATCACTTCATCCCTGGAGAGGAGGTGGAGTTACTAAAATCTCATTCTTTGATAATTCCTGAATGACTCAATCTTGGAAACCAAATAGAGAGTCCTGTTGACTTTTAAAAAATGGTTGCTGTTTGGAGCCAAGATATCTAATCCATTGTTGGCATCACAGTCCATGTCAATGGCTAACAAAATCAATTTTCCTTGAGCACCACAGGGTAGAGTCTACCAACTGGCAAGAATGATGGGTGAGAATCCGACAGAACCAATATTTGTAACTAGTTAGAAAGTTCAGTGATTCAGAGATGTGGGCCTCTGGCTTAGCAGTTAAGACGTTGGTTAAGAGCCCACATCCCACACTGCAGTACCTGGGTTCAATTCCCAGCTCTGGCTCCCAACTCCAGCTTCCTGTTAATGCACACACTGGGTGGCAGCAGTGACGACTCAGGTAATGGGGCTCCTGCCACCCAAGTGTCCCTAACCCAATGCAGGCATTTGGAGAGTGAGCCAGTGATGGAGAGCTCTCTCACTCTCTCGCCAAATAAATAAAAAGAATCACTGGGAAGTAATCCAGTTCTTGCTCTTAGGCCACATGAACTCAACCTTTGTTACACTCTAGAGACCCATGGTCAAGAGGCTGGCCACAGGCCATTCCGGGGAGAAGACTCGGATAGGACGGTTGCTCAATAAGGTTGGAGCTCCTGGGACTTTCTGACCTTAGTGTCCAGGCCAGACAGAGCTCCACATCAGTTCTAATGATTTCACATCCCGGGCTCAGGTAGTCCCGGGAGCGAGGACTGAGAATACCGAACCCTCAGTTCCCACTTAGGCTCTGCGTGGAGCAGACTCACATCTACTGGATGTTCCTGAGTCACGCTGAAAGCCACATGAACCAGTGGATCTCGGTTTGCTGTTCTCTCAACTATGAAGTAGCTAATGATTGGCCCCACATGGCTGCACTTCCTTGTCCCTTCTTCTTTGATCCCTCGTCTCTGTTCTCCTTTATATTTGTAAAGCAAGACAATACTGTTACGAAAGGTCAAATAGAAACGAAAATCAGGAGTTTATAGGGATGGAAATTTATTGCAGTGGTTAAGACATTGGGATGGGAGGCCTACACCGCTTATCAGAGTGCCTGGGTTCCAGTCCTGCCTCCTCTCCTGATTCCCCCTTCCTGCTAATGTGCGCCCTGAAAGGCGGCAGCTGATGGTTCAAGTACTTGGGTGCCTGCCACTCATGTGAGAGACAGATTGCATTCCAAGCTTCTGGTTTTGACCTGGCCCAATCCTGGCTGATGCAGGTGTTTAGGAGAGTAAGCTGGCAGTTAGGAGCTCTCTGCCTGTTTCCTTCCTTTCCTCCCTCCCCCCCCCCCCAAGTCTCTCTCTGCTGTTCAAATAAGTGAATTAAATAAATACATATGTTTTACAATTTATAATCTAAGAGGCTAAAAACCCAATTAAGACTAAAGGTGAGAGGAACATGTTGTCTCAAATGCTCAAGCAGCTGGGACAAGATTGAGGGCCTCAAAAAAGAAGGGGCCCTACGAAGGTACTAGGGGAATTGAAAGTTCTAGCATTGCTGCTGCTGCTTACACCCCGCAAACAAACGTCATCAGGTGCCTCTGAGATCATCAAAGGATGTGACACCACTGATCTGGGTTCCCTCACTTGAACTCATCAACAGCGCCATTTGCAAGGTACCAGTAAGTCAGCCTGTGAAGAACAGGCAGCCGAGCTGGGCAGGAAAGACAGAGAGCGCGGGGGAGGCTGAACCCCTGCCACATGCTGCCTTTTTTTTTTTTAAAGATTTATTTATTTATTTGAAAGTCAGAGTTATTCAGAGAAAGGAGAGGCAGAGAGAGACAGAGAGGTCTTCCATCTGCTGGTTCACTCCCCAAAAAGGCCACATGGCTGGAGCTGCACCAATCCGCAGCCAGGAGCCAGGAGCCTTTTCCGGGTCTCCCACATGGGTGCAGGGGCCCAAGGACTTGGGCCATCTTCTACTGCGTTCCCAGGTCATAGCAGAGAGCTGGATTGGAAGTGGAGCACCCGGATCTCCAACCAGTGCCCATTTGGGATGCCGGCGCCACAGGCAGTGGCTTTACCAGCTACGCCACAACACCGGGCCCTGCCATATACTTCTTATTTCTCTTGTGTGGTTATAAATCCTGTGCCCACTGATTTCTCATTGCAGAACGCCAAAAAGCAGACACCTGTCTCTGTTAATAAAGGCAAACATGAGCCCATGCTTGGATTTGAAGAACAACAATTGTTTAAGTCAGAGAATTCCCCTTCCCTTCAGGCCAGAAAATCTCCAGAGAGAACAAATCAACCGTATAGGACCCACAATTCATCATCATTTGGAATCAGAGACCTCCAAACCACTTGTAAGTAAAAACAGAAACAAATTCCAACAGAGCTCCCTTAGCCTGCCTGCAGCTGCCACGGCCCAGAGAGAGAGAGAGAGAGAGAGAGTGAGAGAGAGAGAGAGAGAGAGAGGTAGGTGCCTCAAAGACTCAGTCCTGGAGCAGGCGTTTGGCCTGGTGGTTAAGACACCAGTTAAGCTGCCTGTGTGTCACTCCCATCAGAGTGCCTGGGCTACACAGCTGGCTCTGGTTCCAGCTTCCTGGCAGGGTAGACCTTGGGAGGTGACAATGATGGCTCAAGTCAGAGGGTTCCTGCCTATGGAACCCTATGTGGGAGACTGAATTGCGTTCCTGGGTTTCCTCTTGGCCATTTGGAGAATGGACCAGCAGATGGGAGCACTTGTGTTTTTTTCTCCCTCTCCTCTCCCTCTCAAAGAAGACTCTGTCCTAAGAGCAGATGAGAAGGGGCCGGTGCTGTGGTAAAGCCACCACCTGCAGCATCAGCATCCCATATGCACACTGGTTCGAGAACCGATTGCTCCACTTCCCATCCAGCGCTATGGCCTGGGAAAGCAGTGGAAGACAGCCCAAGTCCTTGGGCCCCTGCACCCATGTGGGAGACCCAGAAGAAGCTCCTGGCTCCAGGCTTCGGATCAGAGCAGCTCTCGTCATTGCAGCCATCTGGGGAGTGAACCAGCGGATGGAAGACCTCTCTCTCTTGCCTCTGCCTCTCTGTAACTCTGCCTTTAAATAAACAAATGAGTGAATCTTAAATAAAAATCACCCCATGTATAGGAAAAACACACTTTTTCTCTCTATACTCATACTATTTTTAATACTTGCAGAACATTTCACTTCTGATATCAGACATTTGCAAATTATGAAAAACCTATATAAACATTTCAAAAAATTTGTGCATCATAATGAATTTATCCTTTAATTCCAATTTCCATGAACTTTTTCAAGTATTCTTGTCTAGAGGAAATACAATACTGTCTGACATGCACTAAGCGCTAAATCAATGTTACCTACCAACTGCCACACAGTATTAGATTTGCTGTGTACAAACTTACTCCAGTTCACTGGTCCAAACCTCAACATTAAAAAAAGTTTATAATGATGTTTTCAAAATCAGATTAGCTCGGTGTCCACTACATAGAAATTCAAATCCAAAATATTTCAGTTCAGTCACTAAGCAAGAAGCCACATTTTCACAAAATAAATGACAGTCACTGGACATGAGATAATTTGAGCAGAGTCATACAAGAAGGCAGGGAGTAGCCTCATCAATCATTTAAATTGTTTCCGATTCCATAATTGCAAATAATATCCTACTGTCACGGTAAGGAAGCTTAAGAATCCTTCTGAACACACGTGACGGACATACTCAAACTGAGGTGCGACACAGGCCCCAGCCGTGGGGGCGCAGTCCTGCAGGCCGCACTGTGGCGAGCGGGAAGGATGGGCGGCGGTCACAGCCACCTGCAACGCTCAGCAGGGCCAGCCGCCTGCCCACCCAGCCCTGCCACAGGCTCCCAGCTCCCGCGCCCTCCCGCGGTCTCAGGATCTGATTGAGAGCCTCCCTCACCCTCATCACCCCTCCTGGATGAGCCCGATTCAGCCAACACCCACACAGCCCAGGGGAATGCTCCAGCCTTCCGGTTGTCTCTCACTCCCAGCGTCCAAACAGGAGAAACGCTGAACAAGCTGAGAACCCGCAAGTCTTCCGAGGTCTGTCAGACGACAGCGGTCACGGGGCAAGCCGCCAGCCTGAGAACCGGAGTCACAGGTGAACACCGAGAACCGGGGCTGGCCCGGAACCGAAGCCTGCGCGGGATCCAGGATCAGCAGGAATACCGAACGGGTAACGGACTGACTGCTGGAGGCTGAGACCGGGCTGGCTTGAGAGACGTCCTCAGGCCCAAGGTGAGGGGGTCTGCTCGCTTCCAAGGGTTTTGTCCCCAGGGAGGCCAGCCAGGTTCTCAGGGTGAAGGTAGAGGAAAAAGTCATGCTTTAGGCAATGGGAGGGGGCAAGTAGCCATGTCTGAGTATCCCCGAGTGTCTGATCCCAGGAAAAGAACAGGCCTCTCTCGCTGAGGCCTGTCCTCGAGGGAAAGTACCTGATTAATGTGGTTCCACCGGAGTCAGAACAAGGGGGTGGGGTGGGGGTGGGGGATGGTGTGAGCATGTGTGTATGTGTGTGTGTGTGTGTATGTGTGTGTGGGGGGGTGTGATATGTATGTGTGCTATGTGTGTGTTTGAGTGTGGAGTATCTATGTGTTGTGTGTATGTATGTGTGCATGTGTGTTGCACGTGTATGTGGGTGCTGTGTGTGTATGCATGTGTGTGCAGGG